GTGGTTCTGTCTTTTAGTAATGATATTTATGTCATAAATTGTCCTGTCATTTTTGTTAACCTGAGAGCTTTCTAAAGAGTAGGAACTCTGTAATATACTTTACCGTGTTTTTTTGTGGCTTCCTGACATTGGCCTATTGGGGGATGCAATTAGGCACTAATTTGAAACTGCAATTTTTACTCTTGATGCTTTTAATAACTAAAAGGCTATGCGCTGTATGGATAGCACATTAAATTCAACACAAATCAACAACTCTCCAATTATAAAAGCTGGGGATGTCAGAGAAACAATTCACCAATGCAGGCTAGCTTTTTTTTTTAAGTATTTTTTGTATTGATTTTAGAGAGACTGGAAGGAAGGTGGGAGGGAGAGGCAGAGAGAGGGGAAAGGAAGAGAGGGAAGAAGGAAAGAAGGAGAGAAATGTCCCTGTGAACATCCTCCTGGGGACTGAGCCTGCATCCCTGGCATGTGCCCTGACGGGGAATCAAACTGGCAACCTCTGGTACACGGAATGACGCTCAACCAACTGAGCCACACCGGCCGGAGCTATCCAGATTAATTTTGAAAGTGTGGTAAACAAACTGTTGCTTTGGAATCTTGAAGGTTAAGAGTGACAGAGTATAGGGAATTTCAGTGTAAGTGCTCCTCCCTCTAGAGCAGTACTGTTCAATAAAAATATAATTCAAGCTACATATATAAGTTTAAATTTTCTAGTAGCCACAATAAGAAAGGTAAAATTAATTTTAATGTCTTATTTATTTCAATATATTTATTTCAATTTATATTCAATGTGTACCTTTTATACTTAGAGCACATCTCAAGCTTGATAAGCCACATTTCAAATGCTCAACAGTCACATGTAGCTAGTGGCTACCATATTGAATAACATAGATCCTGAGCAATGATTCTTCACCCATGTGGCTTACCAAATCCTGAACTATTGCTCTGGAGACAATAATGCTTGCTGCCTTGGTATTCTACCTTATAAGGATTGAACTATCTTTAATAAAACAATTTATTGATTTTTAGAGCGAGAGGAAGAGAGAGAGAGACCAATTTGTTGTTCCACTTATGTATGCATTCATTGATTGATTCTTGTATGTGCCTTAACTGGGGATAAAACCTGCAACCTTGGTGTACTGGGACAACGCTCTAACCAACTGAGCTTCCGAGCCAGAGGTAAACTATCTTTTAACATCTGCCTATGACAAATTTATGGGTGGGAAAATAAAACAGATAAAGAACAAGTTGTATCACATAAGGACATACCAATAATTTTTGACCCATCATCTTCTACATCTGAGAGTTCCATGTCTTCCACATCACGATTATCTGTTGCAGGCTCAGGTGTGGCAGATTTCTCACTCTCCACAGTTGGTGACTGGGATTCCTCACCTCCCATTCCTTGAAAAGGAGACTCAGAACCAGTCGGGGAGGGGGCATCCATACTTGGGGAAGGAACTGGTGATTCTTCTGGATCAGGAAGGGTTGATTTCAATTGATCCAGCTTTTTCTTTAAATTGTTCACTCGATTAGCAAAGGTTTTGTATGCCTAAAAAAGAAAGAATAAGTTTCAAGTGTACAATTCCATAATACATCATCTTTGTATTGCATTGTGTGCCTACCACACAAAGTCCAGTTTCCTTCAGTCACCATATATTTGACCCCCTTTGTCCTTCTTCAACCCTCCTCTCCCCCACCTCCCTTTCCCTATGGTAACTACCATACTACTGTTGTCTGATGTACCACTATTGATGTTAACCTTGATAACCGGGCTTAAATCTTATTGATCTGATTATCTTAATTTCCAATGCCTTAAAGCTGTGTGTCTTTTTCCTGTTTTTTTTTTAGTCTTGGACCATTCACTGAAAAATCATTTTGGTTGCTCATTCAAAAAACATTATTTTAAAAATGAAATGGAACAGAAAAGATTATAATAGCTTCTGCTTCTGGATATAACTGAGTAGCTTTTGAGAGCCAGACATTTTCCTGTGCATCTTTTTATATGCATGCACATGTGTGCACATATATTTAAATGTATTGAAGAGTGCTGAGACAGCCAAAACCTAAGTGACAACCCTATGTATCAGGGGAAACCATGAGGAGAGCTAAGGTGACATTCTGCAGTTACCTTCTCTCTCGGGGTTCTGATACTAGGGAAGGAGGCAAGAATTGAAAAATGCAAGGCAAAAGGACAAGGCAGAGGGCCACTATTAAACATGAATGGTCTGTATAGAAAAATACTGCAGATTTGAAAAGCCAACATTCGATGGAAGAGGAAGGAAAGAACTGGCTCATCAATATGCTATTTTTTTTCCCTTCAAGATATTTGCAAAAGTCTGAAGCTGCTTAAGAGACAATTAAGAAGCCAAGAAGAAAACCTTTGAGAAGCAAAGTGGAGTTTAATGTAGTTTATTGGTAGCGAGGAGACAAGGTTTAGAATTCAGTGACCATCTCAGGCTCTCAGTGGGAAAAACCAATATCCTAGAAGCTGGAATGAACCACCAGAGAAAGACAAAGCCTTGACCAAACTGCAATTCAGCCTTAAATCAGTTTACTTTCAGATCTGATTAATTTGATCAGCTCTCACAATATCTTCCTAGCAAAGGAAAGGGTGAATCCTCCCTAGAGGAAGAAAAATCATCTAGAGACTAAAAGCACTTTCACATACAGTGTCCAACATTCAATAAAAAATCAGTAGGCATGCCAAGAGAGAGGACTAAATGACCTAAAAGAAAAACAGTCACGAGAGACAAAAATCACAACAGTTAAAGCCAATACTTAATTATCCAACAAGTATTTATATGTTCTGTTTTATATGTTCAAGAAAATAGAGAAAAATTCCCCCTTTCCCTTTCTGAACAATTCAGCCCAAAACCCATTAGCTGGAACTTGATGTAATAAGTGTAAGAAAGTGCAGCCAAAATGCGGTGAGAAAAATGTCTTCATGGGAGAAAGGCATTGCACGGGATGTCTAAAGCCCAAGCAAGAAAAAGAGAAAGCCCAGACAGGAGATTGGGAAAGAGACAGACATGCTGGAAGACTGGTTACACACAAGGGGATTGCTCAAATAAGTGATTATATAGAAGATAAAGGGAGCAAGGCTTTACACTGTTAAAAAAAGCAATACAAATGTGGGAAGGAAGAAAACTAGAACAAACCTTGCATGTTGGATTGGGATTAGAGAACTCATGGTTTTCAATACATATAGACAAATCCTATATAATAAAAGGCTAATATGCAAATCGACCAAATGGCGGAATGACTGGTTGCCATGATGTGCACTAACCACCAGGAGGCAGACACTCGACATAGGAGCTGTTCCCTGGTGGTCAGTGTGCTCCTGCAGGGGGAGCACTGCTCAGCCAGAAGCCGGGCTCACAGCTGGCAAGCGCAGCAGCAGGGGCGGGAGCCTCTCCCACCTCTGTGGCAGTGCTAAGGATGTCCGACTGGCTTTCCCCCCGAGGGCTCCCAGAGAGGAAGGGAGAGGTAGAGAGAAATAGAAACATTAGTGATGAGACAGAATCATTCACTAGCTGCCTCCTGCAGGCCTCCCACTGGGAATCAAGCCCGCAACTGGGGCATGTGCCCTTGACAGGAATCGAACCTGGACCCTCCAGTCCACTGACTCTATCCCAGTGCAAAATTCTGACACGCCGAGCTCAAAAGGTTCGCCATCACTGCTCTATCCACTGAGCAAAACCAGCTAGGGCCTTCCTTATCTTTTCCTAGCTTCTGGTGGTGGCCATTAACCCTTGGCATTCCTTTGCTTGCAGCTGCATCACTACAGTATCTGCTTCAGTTGTCACATAATGTTCTCCCTATGTGTTGGTGTCCAAATTTCCCTCTTTTTATTAGAACGCCAGTTATATGGAATAAGGTCCACCCTAATTACCTTATCTCAACTTGATTACATCTGCAAAGACCCCATTTCCATGTAAGGTCACATTCACATGTACTAGGGGTTAGAGTGTCAACATATCTTTTTGGGGTACAATTCAACCCATAGCAATTAGCAAGGTAGAACTTTTCAATGGACAAGCCTAGAAGATGTCACATTAACAAAAGATATCAAGTGGAATATTATAGGCAGTAAAATCAAACTTGTGTGCTATTAGAAATAATAAAAAGAGAAGCAAACAAATCAATTCTGTGATATTGCTTCTAAAGATGCATAATCTCAATCTGATCACAAAGAAACATCACATAAATCCAAATTGGGACATTATACAAAATATTTGACTTATAATATTCAAACATATTTAGATTATGAAAGTAGAGGAAAAGACTGGGGAACCATTCCAGATCAAAGGAAAATAAAGAGAAATTCAATAAATGCAAATTGTGATTCTAGACAGGATCATTTGCTTTAAAAACTGGTAAATTTGTATAGGGCCTTGAGGATTACATAATAACAGTGTCAATGTATCAATTAATTTCCTGATTAAATAGCTATATGTTATGCTTGGAAGAAGAATATAACTGGGAGGAAATACACATGAAAATATAGGGTATCCCCCCAAAATGTATACACACACTTTTTTATAAGTGTGTATACATTTTTGGGGGCACCCTGTATGTGAGGGATGGGGTATTAGCAATTTATTTTCAAACTAGAGGCCTGGTGCATGAATTTGTGCACTGGTGGGGTCCCTCGGCCTGGCTGGCTATTGGGGCCATCTCGCCCAGTCCTGACTGGGGCTGGCCAGTGGGCGGGAGGTTGGCCAGCCGTGAGGCCTGATGCACAAAATTCACGCAAGGGCCTTAGCCCTGGCCCCCACCTGCTGTGGCTTTGTCCGGAAGGACGTCATGTCTAATTAGCATATTATGCTTTTATTACTATAGAACAGTGGTTCTCAACCTTCTCGACCTTTAAATACAGTTCCTCACGTTGTGACCCAACCATAAAATTATTTTCGTCACTACTTCATAACTGTAATGTTGCTACTGTTATGAATCATAATGTAAATATCTGATATGCAGGATGGTCTTAG